TAAAGCTGTGTGTGTGTGTGTGTGAGAGGGAGAGAGAGAGAGAGAGGGCGTTTACAAGCTGGGACGCGTGTTTGTGAGAGTCACCACCGGATTTTACCTGTTGATCGCGCTGTTCTCTCATTCACTCGCTCCGCAGTCAGCGTACGCTTAAGACCTTCAGCCGGTTCTCTCTTACTCACTCACTCACTCACTCAAGCTCTTTCGCTCGCGGCGGGACAACCTTGACTCACTCGGCGGGCTTGAACTGGTAGTCACAAGTTAGAAGTGAGTGTGCGAGAGTGTGTGTATCAGCTGAGGGTGCGTGGGAGGAGGAGGTTAAACCCAGGACTACACCGTCTGAGAACGTTTAATGCTGTGCTACGGAAGCGGTGAAATACCGGTACGCTCGTGTCACCTTAGAGAAAGAAAGAGAGGATAACAAGAGGAATATTACACAGACAGCGAACTTCAACGCTCACCGTCTGTGGTTATACAGTGAAATACGAAGTGACTATATAACGTACATACAGAAAGAAGAAGGGGAAGTTCTTCGCACAGAGAGCGGAAGCACAGAACAGCGATATACTAGAGAAGGAATCCAAGAAGACATTCTACAGCCAATACACCGTGAATGAAGACACGTATGCATATAGAACAGTAGTTAGAATTTACGAAATTATAAGAGAGGGAAGACACCACGTTCCGGAAAGAAGGAACTTCGAACAGAGCAAGCTACATCACATAAGAAAGAAAGGATACCACAGTACAGGAAACAAGGAACAACAGAAGAAACTGCATCACAGAAGAAAGAAGGTACTACTAGCAACGAGTTCATTCAGACTACATCACAGGAGGACACAAGGTACCTCGCTGAGAAGAATCTACACACACATTACAGGAGTCGCTGTAAAACGAGAAAGAGAACACTACGCTACACACCGTACATCCCTCACACCGGCGACCATGGACAAAAACAATCACCACACAACAACGCCGACGACGACGGAGGAGTTCATAAATGTCACAGATGCCGACGGAGACTTCTCGTGCGATGACAGCATGGGCAGTGTAGAAGACGACGAACAGTTAGCGGAGCGGGCGCGGCAGCTCGGGGAAGCCATCGAACCTTACATCAAGTTCACGAAGCTCGCCCGCCGCATGTCGAAGAAGATGAAGGACATGAGTGAGGAAGAACAGCAGGTATATATATACCTGTTATAATTACCGTGTTATTTAATTAATTAATTAATTAGTTAAGTCGAAGAAGATGAAGGACTTGAGCGAGGAAGAGAAGCAGGTATATTACCTGTTATAATTACCGTGTTATTTAATTAATTAATTAATTTAATTTATATAACGGGAAATAAATAAGGGGGTTTGATAGCTATTGTAGCATAATCAAAAAACTTAATGTTATTATGTTTAATTTTAATGAAAAATTAGGAATTGGTATGTGACTGTATTGTTCTTTACTGTGGGAAAGAAGCGAAAAAGAGAGGTGGCGGTAATTTTACAGTGTATTTTTTATCTTATAATTCATCTGAGTATTTATTATTAAGGTAAATAGTCATTTATGTTAAGAAAGCTTGAAGTTTAGGTGGTTTCAAATGACAGGCAAGGCAGCAAGTCGGTTATAAAGTCATAACCAGGTAATGTGATGATCTCAATTAGGATGTAAATATGTCACTGGATCCTGTATTGATGTTGGTTCTAAGTTTAGGTATTGGTATTCGTTAATATAGTAATGGCTCGCGAGGAATTAGTTTTAACGCAAAGTTGTTTGTCTAGTAGGAGAAAAAGACTAACTATATATATTCTGTATACTTGCATTCGTTAGTTATAATTTAATTTGACCTGAGATGGAAAACGGCGATCCTGCAATCGTCTTTTAGACTTCATAAATTATCGCGCTTAGGAGAAGGTTACGTTCTTATTATTTGAGGCCTATTTTGGCCAACAGTACATTGCTACTATTAATAATCTAGTTAATTAGTAAGTAGGCTGGGTAGTTTAAGATCTTTGTTATTATAGCACCACCAAGTGTTCAGTCGTGGTTTGGTTAAAGTGATACTTAGATAAAACGATATAACATAACTTACCCGCATGTACATGTAAGATATATAAATAAATATATAAATATATAAATATACTAATATAAAATAAATAAATAAATATACTAGCTGATTAGTATATATATAGAGATATATATAATATATATATAATATAATATATATAGTATAGAGGATATGAGGCTATATATATTAATATAACAATCTTGAACAGAAAATTGAATTTCCACGGACGCAACGCTCGGGCAGTTGGTGAACTTCGCGTTAACTAAAACTACCAACTCATCTAATCCAAACCAAGCTAACTAACTAGCTTAATAGACCCGCAGCCAGCGGCTCCCGCTCATCCCACACACACACACACACACAGTTTAACATCAGCCTTCTCTCTTTCTCTCCCCATCGCAGGTTCTTCGTCTGAAGGTGAACAGTCGCGAGCGTAAGCGCATGCACGACCTCAACTCTGCGCTGGACGGACTACGGGAGGTGATGCCGTACGCTAACGGTCCGTCCGTACGGAAGATGTCCAAGATAGCGACGCTACTGCTAGCTCGCAACTACATCGTCATGTTGTCCAGCTCGCTGGACGAGATGAAGAAACTTGTTAGCGACATCTATCAGCACCGGCCGAGGTCGGCTGCGAGGCACGTGATCGCCGCGCCCATCCCCGCGTCGCCGCCGACGGCGCAGCTGCCCGTGATGGCGACGCCAGCGCCGCCGCCGCTGCCGACGTTTTCGAGTATCGCTGTGCGACAGCCGCTAGAGAGATTGAGTCCGCCGGCACCGCCGCCGCCGCTGCCGACGAAGGAGGGGTTTTACGGGAGGCTGCCGGGGATGCACGCGAGCGCGCACGGGTTACACGCGAGCGTGCACGCTGGTGGGGGTGGCGGGTTGGCGGGGTTGCCGCGCTGGTCGCTGCCGTGCTCGTGCGCGCAGTGCTACGGCGGCGGGGTCTCACCGTACTTGACGCACGGGCTGCCTCGTTTTCACCCGCAGACGACGGCGCAGTCACTGCAGATGCAGAAGTGAGCCTGGGCGGCGGCGGCGAGGACGACGATGATGACGATAGCGGAGTAGGAAGTGCGGTTAGAATTAAATAACTGACGAGCGTAGATGCGGTAGTTTATGACTCCTAGATATCCTCTAGAATGCCGTACGGTTACGGTACCTGTGTTACGATTATTGTGTTCGTTCTAGAATTCAATACATTCCATTCGCTGTGGAGTTACAGAAGATGATATATAACAATATATATATATATTATATATATATAATTGGCCAGTATTTACCGATTGTTTCATGTGCTTCAATGAACAATAATGTTTTTTTGCATTATTTCCCTCTAAAACGTTCCACCACAATACTATAACCCCGGATATACCGTTTGCCAAGTTGCGAATTTGCCCGTGTGATGACAATGCTTATACTATTTTCATCCACTTCTATCCATCTGCCGTCTCGATCGCAATCCCACATGAATTCCCTTTAAAGCCAAAATTCGTATCTTTTATCTCCCAGCCGCGAATATATCACAATCTCAGTTTACAAAAAAAAACCGCCAAGACAAGAGTGTTGGAAGGGTGTGCTAACTGACGGTTATTATTGCGTGAAAATAAACGTGTGCATGATAACACACGCTAGAAAATATGTTAGTGTCGACTTTACTTACACAGGCAGACTATGATAGAATCAGACACCCCTCACCCATATACCGTGAACGTATTCTATAACATTGTAGAAATATTTTCGGTGATCTTTCCGTAAATGGACGCGTAAACGAAGTACTTAGACCGTAAAATACTCTGGCAGTTAATGTTTTGCACCCCCAGTGCCACCAAAGAGAGTCGGTTTTGGCGTATAAGTCTAGGGAGTGACCAGTGAATGAGTCCTCAACATCCTAACCGTACACCTATAGTGTTAGTTTGACCGTAGTTTGAGTGCGGCCGAGTGCAGACGCTAATGCATTGTAACCCGCACACGCGCGAGAGAGATAGTCATAGTTGTGCCTCACTGATGACCGTATATAGAAAGTAAATGACGTAATAATTTATATATAGAATCGCAGTAGAATTAAAATCTGCCGTAGACAGTATGTATAAGGTATATACGGCAGAGCAATCTTGCTCAATTTTTCTCACGAAGGTCGCATGTATTTTGTATACGTTGTGGTTTATGCTGCGTCTGTCGTTGCTTGCTTGTGTGTGTGTGTGTGTGTGTGTGTGTGTGTGTGTGTGTGTGTGTGTGTGTGTGTGTGTGTGTGTGTGTGTGTGTGTGTGTGTGTGTGTGTGTGTGTGTGTGTGTGTGTGTGT